TCAACATTTTTTTTTCAACCAAAAACAAGGCATTTCTCTAAATCACCAATAGCTCTGCCCTTTCGTTCTACAAGATGTCTATACCTTGTCAAGTTTCTAACATGTCACATTTAGATAAGCTAAATAAATATATAATTTCGTCAAAAGTCCTAGGAGTAACTCTCAACGTTTTAGGAAGTATCTGTGTTATATAACAAATAAATGAATTACAGTTACAAAACACATGGCATACTTTTATGTCACTATATTTTAGTTTGTTTTATTGTTGTTTTATCTATTCTTTTTGTTTAATCTATTGTTTTTCGGGATTTTTTTGTTTCTTTTTTGGATGTTGTTGTTTCTTTGCTAATTTGCTATTTTTTTGGCTGTTTTTTATTCATTGTTTATTATTATCATTATAATTATTATCATTATAATTATTATCATTATTATTATTATTATAATTATTATTTTATCTATTTTTTTCTTCTCATTTTGACTACATTTTAATTCTTTTACGTAAATTGTACCGATGTACGTTATTATGGTAAATGAATCGACAAATTCTTTTATATTCACATGAGTTAACCATCTGAAATATTGTGTTAAATAAGCCATCTTAATCCAAAAAAATAAACCTTTTAATCAAACTCAACCTCTATTCCCATTTTATTAAAAAAATATGAAACCAAATATCAGATTTGTTTTATATTTAATCAATTGTTCAAATGATATTTATACTTGATCATATTCAAAGGAGATATTTTAGTTTTAAAGCAGCACTGTTGCAACCACTATTGAAATAAAACCACTATTGAAATAAATTATTTCAAAAGTGGTTGGGAATGCATTTCATTAGAAAAATCACTTTGCAACCACTATTGAAATAAAACCACTATTGAAATAAATTATTTCAATAGTGGTTGGGGATTATTTCATTTGAAGAATCACTTTGCAACCACTATTGAAATACAACTACTATCGAAGTAATTATATCAATAGTAGTTGGGGATGCATTTCATTTTAAGAGTCACTTTACAGACACTTTTAAAGACTAATGTTTCATTATTTTTTTGTATTGTAGACGAGAATGAATTTTTTAGAAATATTACTTTGTTATTACTATTGTCACGCAAGAAACACTTTATCTAACGAACAATATCAGATATAAAAAGTGGGTATTATACTTGCATATTTTACGGTATTAATAATCAAGACTAAAAGGAAATATGGTATAATGTTACAATTTTCACGGGTGTGTAAAAATATATAACCAATTCACGCAAATTAAAATACAAATAAAAGGTATTAAAGACTTATATTTTACAGTAATTATAACCGAGACTATGAACTTAACGTACCTCTTTTCGGATTTTTTACTGTTGTGCAGAAATAAAAAAAAATCTCGTAGAATGATGTATAGAATTGTTTTCATATTCTTTTCTTTACCTTTTTCTTTGTATTGATATATAATGTGAAAATCGTAAATTATTTGTACAAGAATTAACACATTGGAAATTACCGGAACTTCAATTTTTTTTTTTTTCAACTCAAACCCCCTGTATATTAAAATAAATCAATTAAGGATACATGTAATTATAAACATCACTATTAAGATAAATTATTTCAATAGTGTTTAGTGATGAATTTTATTACGACCACTATTGAAATAAATTATTTCAATAGTGGTTAGTGATGAATTTTATTACGACCACTATTGAAATAAATTATTTCAATAGTGGTTGATGATGAAGTTTATTACGACCACTATTGAAATAAATTACTTCAATAGTGGTGGGTTATGAAGCTTATTATGAGAAATAATTTGCAACCACTATTGAAATAATTTATTTCAATAGTGGTTTTATTTCAATAGTGGTTGCAACACAGCACGGCTCCAGTTTTATGCTTATTTTCATGAAAATTTTGAAAATCCAATTAAATGTATAATATTGTATTGTAACCAAACGGAAGCAATTTACATATTATCAATGACACTTACAACCCACGTTAATTACAGAAAGATGTCAAAATGTGCAAAAAAATGCCATTACTGCGTTACTAACGCAGTAGAAATATAGTTACGCATGATGAACAAATCACAATTAATCGATCATATAACTTAAATCATTCTACTTTTCCTCAAATTTTAGTACATTTTTCACAATGATTTATTCAAACATTTTCGTTCATCTGAAGGCAGGTTGCGAAATTATATTTCGGAATTTTTCTGCTGCCACTAAAACGAGCACAAATTATTTTTTTTTTTTTTAAAGTTTTCCTCCAGGACTTCTCTCTCGCTTACTTATTTGTTTTACACTAAGGCAGACAAAAAAGGATTTAAAGTGAAAAAGATGGAACATAATTTAACTCTAAATTGACATAATTGATCTTGTTTCATGAAAGATCGTCAGCCGCAGAATTACATGCATTTTATTATTAGCAATATTTGTTATCTTCAAGGCAAGTAAAAGGAAAACATTTTTTTTTTTTTTTTTGTTTTTTTTTTTGGGGGGGGGGGGTGTGTTGTTTGTGATTTTTTTTGGGGGTGTTGTTGTTGTTGTTTTGTGGTGGGTTGTGTATTTTTATGCAAAATATGATACTACGTGTCAATCTTTTCATTGCAAATGCTTCTTTTAACTAATTTATCTTTTCAGTTATTGACATTAAGATATTATAAAGTTAAGTTTGTATATTAATTGAACAATTTAATACACGCGTTAACCAATTGACATATATAGCTAATATCAGGCCATTTTTTTCATGTACGTTTTTTAAAGATTGTCTTGTTTAAAAGAATTAATGTATTCGGTTTTCTTGACTTTTGGGATATGATACAAAATGTTTACGCGAAATATAGATAAAGTTGATATCCTTTCAGAGTACATTCGCTTAAATAAAAACATTATAAAATGACAGTTTTCTTATTGTTTTAAATGTGATTTTGATATTTTAATATTTTCTCAGTATTTTTGAAGATAATATATTATTCACCATTATAAAGTTTTCTAATTATTTAAAACGTTTATATCCGCCTTTCCGTAAATTACTTTATGCAAATGACAAACATGTAAGACAGTTCGTCATTTGCATAATGTTATTCACGGAATGGGGGATATAAAAGTTTTAAAACATGTAAGTCAGTTAATAACTAATAATTAATAATTGTCATAAAAAATGAAATAACTAGGTCATGGACTCAGGGTTTTGTATAATTATTAGGTTTACATTTCATACGAATAACAGTACACTTGTACTCGACTGCTATCTTAATATGATGATAAATGGTGTTGTTTTTTCTGTTGTTTTGTTACGTTTCTTTTTTCTCTTTTATTTTTCTCTTCCATTTTTTCATGTGTGGTGTGTTGTTGTTTTGAGGGGTATTTTTGTTGTTTTTGTTACTTTTAACTCTGTGGGTTTTTTTGTGGTTTTTTGTTGTTGTTGTTTTTTTGTTGTTGTTGTTTTTTGTTTGTTTTTTTTAGGGGAGGGTCTTGCAATTTGAGAGGAGGAGGTGTTAACTTGAGGAAAACCGTTATTTTTATTTGTTCTTGTTGTTTGTTATCTATTTATTTATTTCTTCTTGTCTTATTGTTTGTTGGATTTTTTTCTCTGTATTTGTGTTGTTGTTTTGTGTGTGTGTGTGCGAGTGTGCGAGTGTGCGTGCGTGCGTGTGTAGAGGGATGTATTTATCTTATTTTTTCCGGCTGATGCTATTAACCAAAGCGTCATGGAAATATTAAAACGGAAAAAAAACAAACAACAATTCAGCAATATCTGATGTATTAGAGTTTTGATCTTGGTATAGTCACGTTGTACAAGATTGATGTACTCATATTTAAATTTTAACCTGTTATTTTGTTTTAAAAGGACTAAACAGCTTCCAATTTTTTTAACTGTACATTGTCAATATCTTGGCTTTCTGTAATGCAAATTTCAATTTCGTCAACCAAAAGTATAGGTCCTGGTTAAACTGCACAGTTATGCTGGCTGACCTGGCTCTATACTGTTGGCAAAGGCCAATCACGTCCGGCCTCTGCTGGGTAAAGATAAGGGGAACAGATGGTGTGGCAAATATGATATTTGCTTATATTTTCACTGTTTTTATATCAGCAATTCGTGGTAAGGAATTAATAACATTGATAAAGTTGAGAATGTGTTTAGGTCACATGGTCACACAGCATTATTGCCAGTGCTTGTTGAGATCGGATTTTCAAAGTGTCAGTAACTTTAATAACATTTTAGCATTCAAATCAACGACATTATATATTTTTTCTGGTAACACCGACGTGGTTATTATCTGTTTTTTTTTTTACTTTAAACCACTTCCTCCTAAACGCAACGCTGTGGGTTCGAATCCCGACAGGGACTTCGGATTCTTTCATATAAGGAAGCTATCCAGCTAGTTTATGGAACGTCGGCGGGCACTAAAGGGCACTAGGGTTTCCTCCACCAGTAATGCTGGAACGTCGCCATACGAACTATACTGCGTCCATGTGACATAAAACAAACAAAATCTTTGATTGTTTTCTCGAGATAAAACATATGTTAAGGTTATAGTTCTGAATAGGACTGTTATTTTATCAATGCGTGATTACGCACTTTATTTACCCAAAACACGCAGTAAAGTCGCTGTTGATGAACTGCATCAATTGTTAACAAAGTAATGAACTATTCCGATGCCTGTTAGAAAAAATGAAAAAGAAAAAAGAAAACGCTATAACTATTTAAAATCTTTATTACTCTGAATATTTGTTATTATACATTTCCAGTTATTGTTAGCCGTACAAAAAGGAAAGACACCACGAGTATTAAACTTCTCTTTTACTATTTGATTATAAATAATGTATTTCATTTTGTTTCATTGTTATGTTCTAATAATAAATTACATAAATATGGCGTAATTGACACTTTTGGCATGATCAAGATTTTAAGCACGTCCATAAATTCCAGTTTCTTCGCACTTTTTGACAATCGGGTAAGTGAATATTGTCCAATTTACAGTTTCTAAACTGTGAAACTGTTTTCTCTTTTAGATTGTATAAGCTCGATGTATGGTGCCCTGTTTTGGACATTTAATAATAGTCGAAAGTATATTTCGACTTTTTGGAAACTATAATTCTTTCCATTACCGGAGATCATAGCCGAAGTTCTGCTAAAGCGGCATACGAGAATTAGAATAAATACTCGCAACGGTTATAATCAGAGTAATGTTTGACACTTGTGAGGATTAAAGTGAAGCTGGTGAGGATTAAAGTTGAAACTCGCGAGGATTAAAGTTGAAGTTTGTGAGGATTAAAGTTGAAGCTCGCGAGGATTAAAGTTGAAGCTGGTAAGGATTAAAGTTGAAACTCGCGAGGCTTAAAGTTGGAGTTTGTGAGGATTAAAGTTGAAACTCGCGAGGATTAAAGTTGGAGTTTGTGAGGATTAAAGTTGAAGCTCGCGAGGATTAAAGTTGAAGCTGGTAAGGATTAAAGTTGAAACTCGCGAGGCTTAAAGTGAAGCTGGTGAGGATTAAAGTTGAAACTCGCGAGGATTAAAGTTGGAGTTTGTGAGGATTAAAGTTGAAGCTCGCGAGGATTAAAGTTGAAGCTGGTAAGGATTAAAGTTGAAACTCGCGAGGCTTAAAGTGAAGCTGGTGAGGATTAAAGTTGAAACTCGCGAGGATTAAAGTTGGAGTTTGTGAGGATTAAAATTGAGGCTTGAGAGGATTAAATTGAAGTCAAACGTTAAATCACAGTATGGTTGCTCCACAATAATGATAAATATCGCTACTAAAGTGACTTAATCAAAATCTTGCATATCAACAGACGACATTTTAACTGACCAAAACAGAACACCCTAACTTTGGTTCGAATAATAATTAGATGCATATCAAGTTAATGCATAATTTCAACGTAAAACATGATTGTCTTAAACTACCCTAACTGTATAAATGTAAATGCTATCTTTTGTATATAAATATAACTAAGATATTGATAAACTAGAAATGTGTCATCATGCCACGGATGCCCCCGCATGCAGCCAAAATTTCAGATGGTCCATTAATTTTTTTTTTTCATTTTAAGTTCAAAGCCCTTAAAACTTTTCAATGTTAACACAAACCATTTTCATGCAATGTTCAAGGCACTGAAATTATTCAGTCTTAACCTTTTAAAAATAGCATATTGCATATTTGTAGCCAAAATAATGGCTAAAAGTATGAGTGCTGAAACTGAAAGTTCAAAATTTTTCCAGCATTTAGGAAAGATAAGTTTGTCTAAAATCATTGAACCACGACCAAATTCAAATTTAAACTGCTTATTCCTAAGATGTATCTATATTATTTTCAATGTGAAAGGGACATAACTCTGCCAAAAAATCATCAAAACATGACCAAATTCCAACTTGACCTGCCCATTCCTTTGACATATCCATATGTCAAATTTAAGTTGAATATGTAACACTGTTGGGTAGATAATGAACAGAAACTGTAAATTTCATATTATTTTCAAAGTGAAAGGGGCATTACTCTGCCAAAAATCATTGAACCATGACCAAATTTGAACTTGACCTGCGCATTCCTTTGACGCATCCATATGTCAAGTTTGAGTTGAATGTGTTGTACCTTTGGGGAGATAATGAACGGAAACTGAAAATTTCATATTGTTTTCAAAGTAAAAGGGGCATAACTCTGCCAAAAATCATCGAACCATGACCAAATTCGAACTTGACCTGTATTTTCTCATGACATATCCATATGTCAAGTTTGAGTTAAATATGTTGTACCGTTGGGGAGATAATGAACGGAAACTGTAAATTTCATATTACTTTCAAAGTAAAAGGGGCATAACTCTGCCAAAAATCATCGAACCATGACCAAATTCGAACTTGACCTGTATTTTCTCATGACATATCCATATGTCAAGTTTGAGTTGAATAAGTTGTACCGTTGGGGAGATAATGAACGGAAACTAAAATTTCATATTATTTTCAAAGTAAAAGGGGCATAACTCTGCCAAAAATCATCGAACCATGACCAAATTCGAACTTGACCTGTATTTTCTCATGACATATCCATATGTCAAATTTGAGTTGAATGTGTGCAACCGTTCTTAAGATAATGAACGGAAACTGATGATGACGGAATGACAGAATGACGGAAGGATGGAAGGACGGAAGGACGGAATGACGGAACAGGGTAACACTATATGCCCCGGCCATTACATGGCGGGGGCATAAAAAAATAGATCTAACTAAAGTTAAGAATTAGTGAAATGAATTGTGAAAGGGACTCCACTGACGTGTTTTTGTTTTGTTTGTTTGTTTGGGGGGTTTTTTGGTTTGTTTTTTGGGGGGTTTTTTGGGGGGGGTGTTGTTTTTTATTGTTGTTGTTGTTATTTTGCTGTTGTGTTTTTTTTTTGTTTTTTTTTTACATTATAGGACTGAAGTCCTAGACAAATCAGTATGTGCATAAATTTCAGATTATTCGTTCATTCCTTTTTGTCTACAATAATTATATTCATTGTGCAAAAAGACCCAAAAGTCAACAAAAAAAAATTATAAACGCATTTAACTATTAACACTATCAGAATCTCAGGAAAACAAAAGATTTTTTATTTAATTATTTAGTGAGTCATTTGACTTTTTACAAGTGACCCAGTTGATCTGTGTTTAATTTCATATTTTATGCTTTTAGGCTTTTGGCCCTCAGTGGAGTTCCTTTAACAATTATAAACATTAGTGTATATATATGAAAAAAATGTTACTACATTAGGAAGTTGTCAGCAATTTTAATTTCTCTACAGGTGAAAAGAAAGTTATTAAACTGTAATTGACTTTTAACACTGAAAAAGCAACATAATTTTCAGATTATTTTACATAAATTCAGATCTTTCAAACAGAAAATTTAATGCTGAACGAATGATTTTTAAGGCAACAATTCCTCTGTCTATGATTAAACATGATTTCTACATAATAAACCAATTAAAGTGCATGTAAAAAGTAGGACAGAGTGCACGTTGTTAAAGCTATCGGCACCGCTTGTCTCCTTGCAAGTTCCCGCTCTCGCATTTTTCACGGCTTCCATTTCTATCCAATTCTTTATTTCGTCTTGTAAAACACTTAGAGGCATAGCTCCGTTGCTTAGGATTACACTGTGGAATGGTTTAATCAATTCGTCTTTTTCAAAATTACCTGCAACAAAGATTTTAATGAGATCTTATTTCTTAAACATATCCGAAGTCTCATGAAATATAACAAGAATTCCCTCAACATCCTTTAACTACAAACGCTTTTGTTTTCTTTGTTGTTGTTGTTTTCTTTGTGTTTTTTTTGTTGTTGTTGTTATTGCATTGTTGTTCTGCTTTGTTGTTATTGTTTTAATGGTGAAAGTATGTTTTGGATTTGGAATATGTAGGTTTAAACAACGTTGCAAGCAAATTTTGGCTTCAACATACTTTCTAATACTTAGTTCGCCATATCTCAAATGTCAATTTGTTTGCATACATCTGAAAATTGTATGTGTCCTTAGAAAACATGTTTTTCAAAAAATGTCTTGCTTATAAAAGGTGTTAACTAAGTACCTGTGAAAGGGGATATTTATCAATTTAAGTTAAATGTTACTTTATTTGAGCCGCGTCATGACAAAACCAACTTAATAGATTTGCGACCAGCATGGATCCAGACCAGCCTGCGCATCCGCGCAGTCTGATCAGGATCAATGCTGTTCGCTTACAAACCCTATAACAAGTAGAGAAACTGATAGCGAACAGCATGGATCCTGATCAGACTGCGCGGATGCGCAGGCAGGTCTGGATCCATGCTGGTCGCAAACCCATTATGTTGGTTTTGTCGTGACGCGGCTTATTTATACATACACAGACGTTCTTTTGCATTATCCCGGAGTTCTCTGATCTTTAACTTGCCAATCATATATGTAGTCGATTGTGCCGGCCATGTTGAATATCGATCAATTTCCCGCTCAATAAATTCCGGTGTATATGCTGTATAAGTTTTCATGTACTGTATGGCACGTTCACGTGGCCAGCTAAAATACATAATTTTAGAAGTCTAATAATGATTATTTACTTTATATTATATTGAATCAATAACGAATAACCATCATTGTGAGAAAAACATTGGAAAATGCTTATAAAGGTCTTATAACATGTGGCGGCAAGCACACGGAATAGAGGTCTTCGGCAGCTTTCTGTAAATTCATTGAAATGTTATTTGGAGAGTACATTGTAACAGGGCGCAACGATTTGAAGTATTTCTAAAGATCTTTTTAAAGCTACAATAAAAAAAATGGCTTACTTCAAATACTTACTTTTTAGCATGGATACCAGTGTCGACAACAAGCCGAGCGGCACGGAATATTTCTAGTCCATATTTACCAAACCTTAAAAAATAAGTTGAAAATACAAGCATGATAAGGGGAGACCTTAAATGATAAAACGTACCGAACATAATTGAAAAGAGGAGTAACTATACATTAGATGAAAAGTTTTACTTCCGATGCGTGCATTCTTAATGTAACGTAAATTAAATCTAAGTCACTCTGCTTCAAATTTAATTAATATAAGCGTTTGTCACCAGTCATCATTGGATCAAAACTCCTCACAGTGATTACCTCCCTTGGCAGATTGTAGGTGAGATCACTGCGTAGAGATTTCATTGGATCAAAAGACAGAAATTATATATATAAAGATGCTCAAATAATTCACTGATTGGAGGCAGACTTAAGAATGTAGTCTTGTTTGACATAATTCGTATGCAATAGGAAATAATAATCAAAATTTGCTCAGATAAAAGATTTAAATATACACACTTATCCATATCGTCTTTATATATCTCCATATCCTCGCCTAAATCTTCTGAGTAAAGTCCCCAACCCTGAAAACATGAACAACATTTTAGTTACTTGTATGCAATTACAAATGATGAATAAAAACATGGAATTGAAATGCTGTGCTTTAAGAAGTAGAGAGGATAAAATTCAATGGAAAATTTCAAATATTCAGGCACTCTGTGCACATAACTTAGTAAACCGAGACTGCAGCTTTGATTCCATTGCTTCTGTAAGATTTCCCCTTTTCCAGAATCAAAGTTGTATAATCACAGCAGCCGTAGAAATGTCTTTTGTATCTTAGAGAAACTCCACTGAGGGTTATTTTACACGATGGGATTGAAAATAGTGTTTTTTAGAGGTTACTGTTCCATTCAAGCCCAATAACCTATTGTGCAAAATTTCATCATTTGCCCACTCCGTTTTTTTTCCAGAATCATTATTCTAATTGTGATAAATGACCAAAAGGAAAACCGTTTTTCACTCAAATCGGGCTAGGAAAAACACAAAAATACAATTTACAAAGTTATTGCTGAATATTCTTTATTGTCTTTTTATCTCTGTTTTAAGGGTCCCAGCTCATTTATGCAAGAAATTAAAATTGCATGTGTTTAGGCTTTTGGACCTCAGTGGAGTCTCTTTAATGTTGTTATATTGTCCAGATCCTTCGGGATGATTGATTCCAAATCTTAAAGTGTTGAGGATGAAATACAGCTAAAGCCGGTGCTAGGAGGCGTGAGAGATGTTGCACTTTACATATAACCATGTTTCCTTTTCAAGATTATCAGTGATTCACTCTTGAACTCTGAATAAGCGGACATATTTCTTTGCGTTAGCAAGGGAAACGAAGCAAAATTGTAATATTGTGTCCAAATACCTTAAACTGGCAAAAATATTAAATACAAGTATCCACCTTGCACTAAGACTAACAGCTTTCTGGAAATTTGAAATCACATGTCTGTTTCTATTTACAAAATACAAAATTAAGTTAACGCCAAGAAATATTGATTAAATTGTGTCTTTTCCGGGCGAAAAAAAAATATATAACTCTAAAAATTTACACTAACAACGTCAATTGTTTATTTATACATATATTGTTAAAGATCGTACCTCGGAATATGCAGTGTAGAACGGAAAATGCAAAGGAACTCCGAAATATTTTGAGAAATCTGTGACTTTTCTGAACAATGGTATTCCCTGGGCAGTTAATGCATAAGAATCCTGTAAATGGTGGCCAGGATCAGTTTCGTGAAGCAATAAGGCGGCCATGTCGAATTTCGGTCTGCAAATATACAACGATTTAAGGTACAGTAATTGAACTATCGCCATTTTTATCATTTGATTTCGTAATGTTCTTTATCATTTAGCTCTCCAATCGTTTTTATCGTTAAAAATCACACGAATGTATATAAACACTTCGGATATAGCATGTGTAAACAATAGCATTTAATTCCCGAGTACTTAAATGCTAGTTGTGTGTATAGCTAGCGCATGTGTTTAAAAGGGCAGCTTTTTCAGTCAGTCATTTGTCTTATTTGAAAGGGAATACATAAATATAATATGAGTTTTGATAATATGGTTTTAATCATTCATTTGGTCTTTTGAAACCATTCATGGTCTTAAAAAGACTGACAAATTGTCTATATAGAACGAACATAAAAAAAATAATCTTTTCGTTGTGGGATAGGTGTTTACGTCGTACCAGAACAGTAGAGGTATTACGGAAACTTCCAAGCTTTCAAGCTTTACTGGTAGAGGAAGCCCTCGGGCGCCTCTCAGTGCATTATTTCTGGCAAAAACTGGAACCTGTGTAGAACCACCAACGTTCAGTTACCGGGCCGGATAGCTTTCTCACAAGACAGAATACAAACCCTTTGACATGATTTTGGATTCGAACCCACAGTGGTATGGAGCAAATGATTTGAAGTCAACGACTTGAACCACTCGGTTACAGACGTTCTAACGCAATAAGCTTGACATGGATATAGGCATAAGTAAGACGGCTCTGATCTTGTATAACTTACACTTTTGAATTAACATTTGCTAGGAAAATGCCCGGCCGTGATCCATCCGGGGCTCCATTTTTATAAATACCATTTGGACCATTGTATGTCATCTTTTCAATCCTGAAAATAAATTAATGGGAAAAAAATGTTACTGTAAAATTTTAATTTTCAATGCCCTTTTTCCATTTCTCGCATCATGATATAGCCCAGTCCTACGGAAAAGCGTTCCAAAAACGTATGCCAAATATAATTGGCGAAACGCTAACCTCGAAATTAAAAGAAAGCCAAAACTGCTTAAAAGAAAGTGAATGACAGCACAAGTTTTCTCAGAGCATTTATAGAAAATCACTGCTAGTTTAATCAAACAATTCAAATAATTCAGTGATTGAAAAAAAAAGTTTTTGCAGTGATATGCAATCATAACCCATGACATCCCTCGATATGTAAAGTTTTCAAGGGAACATAAATGAAGTGGCAAGTAAATTCTTAAAGGGACTCCACTGCAGTTTTTTGAGATGACTGGACAGAATTTTTTAAAATCAAATTTTGACTTGTCTACCTTTTGATGTAGGCCTAGAAAAAAATAACTTGCATGCAAGATGATTATCTCACTCCGTGTTCCAGAAAAATCTTTTGTTTCGTGCAAACTAACTCAAAAATAAAACGCATTTAAGCAACTCAAACGAGGCTAAATTCTCACAAAGAAAACCTATTTTTCTTCCATTCTGAGTAAATTTCTTAATTATCTTTTAAATGATCAAGATAATCTTTGTAAGATCCGGTTTTATATTTAAATGCCTTTAGATCTTGGACTCCATTAAACAAATTTTTCAACCGTGTGCTCAAAAAGCATCATCGCTATTTTTCAAAAAGGCCTAGGTTTAACTATATAAACATGTGTGTGCAAGAATCTATATTTCTTCAATACGGAATCATAGAGGGGGACATTTCGGATATTTAAAACAAAAACTAATGGCCGCGTTATAAAAACGATAAAAAAAGAAATAACCGAAAAGTTTACTCGCGACCATTTTAAAATCAAAAACTTCCGGCATGGCCCGCTATGCCTCCGTACTTAAATGATTGTTTAGATAAGAAAACAAGCTTTATATAATACGACATATTTGCTACATTAATTAAACAACTTACAAACTTTTTCCTATAATAATACAGACAAAACAAATATCTATGCATCAAACTTTGAACTTACTTTAAAGGAAAATCCGGTATATTTTCGAACATTGTATCCAACTTTGGCACAATAGTTTCATTGTAGTAATCTTTAAACATCTGCAAAGCTACATCCTGAATTTGAAATTAAAAATGTACATGTAAAATAAACAAGATCAACAAAATTGAAACTCATTTTGGCTTTGAATACTGTTCTAGGAATGAATACTGTTCAGTATTCCTAGATCCTTCAGTATAAGAATTGTTATTGAAAATTTGGAAAACAAAATAAGTTGATTAAAACTATAACTGGTATTGCTATATACTGTAATAGGCACACAATAATCAAGTTTGACTGTTTTTTTTTTCCTTCAGAAACTTTCCTTTATAATAATAAGTTACTATACGACCATTTACAAACTTAATATTTTTATATTATTCTTATGTTTAAATATTTAGTTACATAAAACTTATAACTAAACTTATATCTATTTATCTATCTATCATTGACATAAAAAATATGTTTTACTAGGGCTAGTAGGGGTATCTGAGGCCGAGTGGGTAGAACGCCGACTCTAGCTTACTTGTCACTAAACTGCTGCGGTTTCGAATCCCGCCAGAGACTTTAGATCTCGTCATGTTAGAAAACTTTTCCGCGAGTTTACGGAGTGTCGGTGGTTCTATCCAGTGCCTGAAATTATGCATGGAGGGGCACCGGGATATTCCTCACAAAATAAGCTGGAAAATTGTTATAAGACCTTAACAGTGTCAGCGTGAATTAAAACCAAAAAAAAATTTTTAATACTTTTGAAATAAATACAAAACTGCAGATCATATCCTAAAGAAAAAGGTAATCTATAAATGCTGAACTTACACCATCCGTGATAAATAAACTATCGTTTTTACGTAAATGTTCGTTGTACTCTTTCACTGTTCCTTTGAAATTTGCCCTCTTCATTATCTAGTTATAAATAGGAATACATATAAAGCACGTGAAATCCATCATGATTCAATATAATGAATACATTAAAATATTAACCAATGAAAAGCTGTCATTGCACGCTCATTATATATTATAGGCTAACCTTTTAAACCGCATTATTTCAGATTCATTCCATGAATGAGAAAATGTTTAAACAATAAAGATATTGACAAGCGTACAAACAAAATGACCGGAGTTAGTTTAATTAATATGATCCAGCTAAAAGATGTAAACATGTACAAAAATTCCTAACTAAGTAACAGAATATTTATAAGGTGGCAACATTATATTCAATGAACTTGTTCACCTTTCAATCTAGACGTAATTCTTCATATTTAAGAGAAATTTTCAACAACCTTATACGCAGAATGCGCATGTGCGAAATGCAACATTCGTTACTATCGAAAAACTATTGTAAAAAGGCCTGATTGACCAGCGAACAGCGCAGATCATGATCAGACGACACTGATGTGCCGAGTGGTACCGAATAATCTAGATCTGCACAGCTGTGTGGGCAGAAAAAGTCATTTTCATACTAACCACGTAAGACATCAATCAATATTTGAGCCCATCTTGTGACATCATTTAAGAAAAATCATTTTTGAAAGTTTAAACTGTTTTGTGGCATCATAAAGCTTACCTTTTGAATTTCAGAATGAACTCTTTGAACTTCTCTAATTCCCATTCTGTGTATCTCATCAGCTGATAGGTCTATAGAAAGTTGCCATTTTAAACACGCCTTGTAATACTCCGCCCCCTGTGGAAGACCGCCTACTCCGAATGATGACCGCGTATTTGGAATGTAAGTCTGAAAAAATATAAATAGCCCAAATATATAACTGAATAACTCGCTTAATATCATATTAGTTAAAAAACAAGAGTATAGTATGTTGCTGTTGTTGTTTGTGCGTGCGTGCGTGCGTACGTGCGCGAGTGTGCGTGGTATTTCTTCATTCTTTTTTTTTCTTTTTAAATTTACTTGATATAATGCTATATTAGGTAAGCTAATTATAAATCTTAAAAGATACTGTAAAAAAGATATTTTCACAAGGCCAAAATTTCGCAAAATCATCATTTCAGATTAAATCGTGATATTAAGTATTCGCGAATCCCTACTTTCAGTTTTGTTAAATATATATGAAATATACTTAGCAAACATTTCATTTCGCATAAGGGGTGGGGGCGAAATTTAATCCCTCGCAAAAATTTCTGATTTTTCAACAGCCTTACTTCTTACATCATTTTAGAAATGTATTGTGGGATTTTGTGTTTTGTCAATGAATATCTGTCTGTTCCGTGTACTTCCGCACTGTCACCCACATCCATTTTGTTGTTTCAACGGAAAGTTGTCCAAAAAAACTCTAAATATTGCAAGTACATACACATATAAAAACGTAAAATTATTTAATTACACCATGTACACTGTACAAGTTATCAATGAATGTTTCTAACTACATGCGAATATTTATTTTATGTTTCATTTATTACATTTTTAGGAGTGAAAAAATACTGAAAATAAACAATATCTGGGCACTACTACACTAACACTTACATTCTTTATAAACGCTGCGAGTTGCTTTACTTGCTCTAGGAGAAACTTGATATTGGTTACAGCAACATCTCGAATAGTAGATTTCCTGAAAAAAAAAAGATATCAAAATGACAATATTGAGCAAATGTTTTGTAGCATTGTTTGTTTTATTACTCGTATATTGTAATAATTTAGTACACATCAACGATTTAGTACATCGAAATCCCGCTACATGACTGTATTAAGCCTAAGAGGAAAGTGGTTACGAAAGGTAAAATTTAATTTGTATTGGTTAAGGTAAAAAGAGAAGTAAATGGCATATTCACTATGAATATAGCAATTCCCTACGTATAAGTAAGTGTTTATTAGTCAGAATTTACAAAATTAAACTGGTCAAGAACGGCGCATAATTTAGTGTTTGAAATTATTTTTATAAAACCGTCGATTTATTAGAATGAATAAATTTAGTCTATTGCCAAAGTAAATGTGTTATGATTCGTTTGAAATAATGCAGTTCTATTGGGCAAAACATATTTTAAAACCCTAAACATAAACATAATCGTTCAACCTTTATTTTTTTCCTAACTTCCTAAAATTGTGTCACTTAACAACTCCTACATCATTCATGATTTGATTATTTTGTCCTTAAAAAATTTACCATTTCAAAAAAATAGTTAACTATATTTAACCTTGAATAATTAACGTTAAATAAATAAATAAAAAAGCACGTACGTTGTAGCATTTGAAACCAGGTCATCCATCTTGTCCTTAAACGGTTCGTACATTGGGAAAGCTGTCTCATTATTAACATACATTGCTCGCATATTCTCCATCAGTGATGGCACCTTTTCCTTTAATAAAGAACGTTTTACATGAATGATTAAGGTTGAGCTTTACATGGCAGCATAATCCGGAATCTGCCGGAACCGGAAAGGGATAGCTTTTGCCGTCAGTGTAGTTAGGTATGGGCTTTACATGGCAGCTTAATCTTGATTCTGCCGGAACCGGAAGTGAATAGCTTTTTGCCGCCAGTAAAGTCAGGTATGGGCTTTAAATGGCAGCTTTATCCTGATCCTGTCGGAACCGGAAGTGGATAGCTTTTTGCCGCCAGTGTAGTCAGGTATGTGCTTTACATGGCAGCTTAATAATCCTGCCGGAACCGGAAGTTGATAGCTTTTGCCGCCAGTGTAGTCAGGTATTGGCTTTACATGGCAGCTTAATCCTGATCCTGCCGGAACCGGAAGTGGATAGCTTTTGCCACCAGTGAAGTCAGGTATGGGATTTACATGGCAGCTTAATCCTGATCCTGCCGGAACCGGATGTGGAAAGCTTTTTGCCGCCAGTGTAGTCAGGTATGAGCTTGACATGGCAGCTTTATACTGATCCTGCCGGAACCGGAAGTGAAAGCATTTTGCCGCCAGTGTAGTCAGGTATGTGCTTTACATGGCAGCTTAATAATCCTGTCGGAACCGGAAGTGGATAGCTTATGCCGCCAGTGTAGTCAGGTATGGGCTTTACATGGCAGCTTAATCCTGATCCTGCTCGAACCGGAAGTGAATAGCTTTTTGCCGCCAGTAAAGTCAGGTACGTGCTTTAAATGGCAGTTTTATCCTGATCCTGCCGGAACCGGAAGTGGATAGCGTTTTGCCGCCAGTGTAGTCAGGTATGTGCTTTACATGGCAGCTTAATCCTGCCGGAACCGGAAGTTGATAGCTTTTGCTGCCAGTGAAGTCAGGTATGGGCTTTACATGGCAGCATGATCCTGATCCTGCCGGAACCCGAAGTGGATAGCTTTTGCCACCAGTGAAGTCAGGTATGGGATTTACATGGCAGCTTAATCCTGATCCTTCCGGAACCGGAAGTGGAAAGCTTTTTGCCGCCAGTGTAGTCAGGTATGAGCTTGACATGGCAGCTTTATCCTGATCCTGCCGGAACATGAAGTGAAGCATTTGCCGCCAGTGTAGTCAGGTATGTGCTTTACATGGCAGCTTAATAATCCTGTCGGAACCGGAAGTGGATAGCTTATGCCACCAGTGAAGTCAGGTATGTGCTTTACATGGTAGCTTAATCCTGATCCTGCTCGAACCGGAAGTGAATAGCTTTTGCCACCAGTGAATTCAGGTATGGGATTTACATGGCAGCTTAATCCTGATCCTGCCGGAACCGGATGTGGAAAGCTTTTTGCCGCCAGTGTAGTCAGGTATGTGCTTTACGTGGCAGCTTAATTCTGATCCTGCTCGAACCGGAAGTGAATAGCTTTTGCCGCCAGTGAAGTCAGGTATGTGCTTTACATGGAAGCTTAATCATCCTGTCGGAACCGGAAGTGGTGGCTTATGCCACCAGTGAAGTCAGGTATGGGCTTTACATGACAGCTTAATTCTGATCCTGCTCGAACCGGAAGTGGTTAATTTTTGCCGCCAGTGTAGTAAGGTATGTGCTTTACATGGCAGCTTAATCCTGATCCTGCCGGATCCGGTAGTGGACAGCCTTTGTCGCTTAAAATGGCCAGCCCAAATTCAAAACTGGGCAAGGCCAATTCATGCATTCTGTAGGTTTATGTTTCACTAATAAGGCAAAAACTTAAAACATCGGTCTCCTCCGAACAGTAACATCTTGTCAATACCTTCATTGAAATTACGTAAGTGATCCGGTGGCCAGCGACCTCTATAACGTGTTCATCTGACGCTATTTTGGTCACAATGAGTAATGCATCAAACTTTGTTCGTAATCAAAAGAAAAACAAGGTTGTAAGCATGAAACTACACCTTTACGTCGTGTATCAAATAAACCAAACAAAATGTTTCAAACTTGACAATGAATATATGTATATGGAAATAATATACAAATGTAAACTTATGTAAAACAGCTCGGTAATATAAGAGAAAATAACTTACTATTGAAACGTTATGATTGGTGGTCCGCATGTTTACAGCTTTGTCCATTCGTGTAATTATCTGTCCAATCTGTGAGATCAAACAAATATGATTTTACAACATGATACAAATACTGTTTTTTATTTATAAACATACGAGTACGAGAGATGAACTTTTTTGTATATATATTTGCATTCCCAGAACTGTTTTGCCCATTATTTGAAAGTGTGTCTAGTTACACTTTTCGACTGTTTCGAATATTGTAGCAGTGAGATCAGTAGTTCACTTCAAAGTGTAGCATAACGGAAACCTCATATCTATATGAGTTCATCTAACATTACACCGATGATGGACTGACCAGTCTTTGAGGCATCCCCTTGATTGATGCCAGAACACTGCGTGAGGAGGTAACTAGTATACTTATAAGTAAGTTTTGTTTTTATTATTATTATTATTATTATTATTATTATTATTGGTTCATTTTTTCACCGTTCCCTCTGTAAAAAGAAATGAACGCCTTTTAGTCTGGGAAATGTGAATGTCTTCACCTTAAAGCTATTTTGACCCTACCTGTACACCATAGCTGCGTATTCTCTTTGCAAACATTCTAAAGTCTTCTTCCTTTTCAAATCTAACTTGTCCTGCCCTAGAGCCGTAATTTGTATGAATCCCTTCAAGTATATTGACCGGGTTCATTGGTCCATAACTGTATATAAACAAAAATATACATGTATACAGTGCATTTTCTTATATATTGCATTTCATATAAACTTGTTTTTTAACATAACAAAAACGCGTTCTTAATTTGCTGAATCTGTGATGAGCCTTGTAACATTTTTCTGGGACGAGTTAATAAATGCCTATGACCTAAATCTTCACTTAATGACCCTTCTGTTGCCTATATTAAATTGACCGCGCAAGAATT